TTTTTGGCATACAGATTCCCACAGTGAATGATAACAGATTTGATGAGAACTTTCTCCACACTGGAGTTATGGATATGACAAGTATGTGTCTGTCTGTCTGTCTGTATGTGAGGGTGTGTGTGGTGTCTGTCTGACTGTTCTCTGCTCGTATGTGTGTTCTGTAAATAAGTCTGTCAGTCAGGGTCTATGTTGTTTGTCTGTATGTTTGTCTGCCAGGCTGTGAATGTTGTCTGTAAATCTGTATGTGTCTTTGTTGTCTTTCTGTTACATGTGTCTGTCTCAGGCTCAGTATGTTTATATGTGTGTGTGTTCTTTGTCTGTTAGACTTGATATGGTGCCTCTCTGTATTATGTCTGTCTCCGGATTTGCGTGTCTGTATTTTCTGTCTGTATCTTAGAATGTGTTTGTGCTGTCTGCCTGAATGTATGTCTGTCTTAGGCTGTGTGTGTGTCTCTGTTGTCTGTCTGTTATGCATTGTCTGTGCTTATTATACATATTCCAAGCTGTATCTATCTGTGTGGAACTAAAACACGAAATGGACTACACACACAATTTGAATGTAGTCGATTGTGTAAGTTGTCGATTTTGTGCTTCAGTACTAAGGATTCATTTATTTGCTTCATTTTATTCAATTGGTACTGTAGTATGCACCTGACGAGATACAGCGAAATATCATTATCATCATCAGGTGCCTTGCCGACTGGCGTGGGCGATTATGCCTCTCCATAATCTGCGATCTCCTGCAGCATGTATCAGTTCGTGTGCTGACACACCTCCATGCCATGCAACAAGACTGTCAAGCATCTTCTCTCGTTGTCTTCCTCTATCCCTCCTTCCACAGAGCTTTCCAGTGGTCACAACATGTTCTGTTTTCCCTCTTCTCATAACATGGCTGAAAAATGATGACTGTCTCCTTCTGATGTCTGTGATAAGTTGTCTTCGGGCTCCTGCCTCTTTCAAAACCTCTTGTTTGCTCTTTTTGGCTGTCCAAGGTATTCTAAGCATTTTTCTGTAAAACCACATCTCTGAGGCCTCTAGAAATTGTTTGGCCTGCCTACCGATTGTCCAGGATTCACAGCCATATGTTAAACTGGATGAATGTAGCAAGCAAGAATTCTTTTTTCTAAATCTCAATGACAAGGATATATTGCACAAGATGTTTTTCATTTTATAAAATGCAGTTTTTGCCTGTCCTATTCAGCGAAATATGCCAGGCAATAAATTGTGCAGTCTATTGTTTTCATCTTCTGTGTTTAAATTCACAACGGGAAAACATTGCTTTGATATGTGTAAATAGAAACTGCAAAAGGAAAATTCAATACGTGGTTGAGGATATGGAAAATTAAGGTGGGAAAACCCTCTTTTTCCATTTCAAAATATTAAGGGTTGCCGTGGGCAAGGGGTCTTCGAGGGGGCTGTGGGGCGGAGAGGGGGCCGCAAAGTATCCAAACCCTCAGCTCAGGAGCCGCTTAACGAGTCAGGGAGCTGTTGAGAACAGTTGACTACCAACGCCAAGTGAAGTGAACGCAAGATATTTCATGAATGTATATGTGTGTGTCGGCTCTGTGTCTAAGTCGATGCGAACGCTTCGTAATGCCGGAATGCCGGGTTCGATCCCAGCTGTGGGCCATGCGCCTTGCGTTGGTTTCGACAGTGGTATCAAGAAAGCCGACCGTCCAGAAGGCAATGGCAAACTACTGGACGTAGGTTGCCTAGACAAACCACACAGCAGCCAGGGGCTGTTTGGGTTAGTTCTGCAACGTCCTGTAAAGGATACGCAACTAACCTAATAATATGTGTGTGCGTGTCTATCGTGCTCAGTGTTGTAGGAAAATGGAAGGGGAGCGTTTGTGGTCCGCTCTGGCTGTCATCTCTGAAGGAAAAAAAAAGGTGTGAAGGGGAAAGGCGGGGGGAGTGGGTGGGTGTGGGTGTGGGTGGAGGGGTATGATAAATGGCAAAAAAAGGGGTTCTTTTCTTTTTAGCGATTACATGACACGAGATTAATTAAGTGAAATTCCATATTATGGGGAGGTGGGGTGGGGGCTGGGGGGGGGAGGGGGGGGCAGGGTATGGAGATTAGGATTAGTAGTAGTCGCTATTTATTGAACACAAACCCTAACCCTAACCACTCCTGTAATATAGGGATTACCCTAAATCTCGCGTGATATATATATATATATATATAGATGAGGGGGTTTGGCAGGAAGTGTTCCACACATGGTCCTATTGCTCCACGCTCCTGTTGTTATCTCGTATCTTCTTCTGGGCTTCAGAACTGTTTGGCTACTGTACCGAGGAGAACCTGAACGGCTGCACCAGAGACGGACACAACGGCATCCTGCCCCCGGTCATGTCTGGGAAGGTCAAGAGTGTCCCAGTCCTCAAGTATGGAACCCTGGAAGTTCGCGCCAGAATCCCCAAGGGAGACTGGTTGTGGCCAGGTAGAGTTGCTGTGTCAGACGTGTCTGGTTGTCTGGTGGTCTGGTGTGATTTGCTGTAGTGGTAGAATTATCAATTTATGACTGTTGTTGTTGTTGTTATAACAGTAACAATAGTTTTAGCAGATAAGCAGCAGTTGTAGCAACAGTTGTAGTTTCATTTCCAGATGGATCTCTTATTGTGCTCTCTCTCTCTCTCTCTCTATTTATCTCTTTATTGTGCACTCTCTCATTATTAATCTCTTTATTGTGCTCTCTCTCTATTAATCTCTTTATTGTGCCCTCTCTCTATTAATCTCTTTATTGTGCTCTCTCTATCTCTCTCTCTTGCTCTGTTTCTCTCTGTCACACACATACGCGCAGACACACATACACACACATTCTAGCTAAACATCCCATTCTCTCTCACACATTCTCAGTCGGACACATATTTTTTCTCACATATTCTCTCTCACACACTACTTTTCTCCCTCTCTCATTATATTCTCTAAGTCGGACATTCATATTTTTTCTCTCTTCTCTCTCTATTCTCTCTCTCTCACACTCTTCTCTCTTCTCTCTCTCCTCTCTCTCTCCCTCTATGTCCTCTCTCCCTCTCTCTCTCTCACACTCTCTCTCCCTCTCTGTCTCTCTCTCCCCTCTCTCTCTTCTCTCTGTCTTCTCTCTCTCTCTCTCTCTCTCTCTCTCTCTCTCTCTCTCTCTCTCTCTCTCTCTCTCTCTCAACTTCTAGTCTCTGTCTCTCTCTCTCTCTCTCTCATCCCTCTCTGTCTCTCTCTCTCTCTCTCTCTCTCTCTTCCCTCTCTCTCTCTCTCCCTCCCTCCCTCTCTGTCTCTCCCTCTCTCTCTCTCTCTCCCTCTCTCTCTCTCTCTCTCTCTCTCCCTCTCTCTACTCTGGCTCTCTCCTCTCTCTCTCTCCCTCTCTCTGTCTCTCTCTTCTCTCTCTCTGCAAATTCTCTCTCTCTCTCTCTCTCTCTCCTCTCTCTCTCTCTCTCAGGAAAACTCTGAGAATCTCTCTCTCTATCCCTATCTCTCTCTCTCTCTCTCTCTCTCTCTCCCTCTCTGTCTCTCTCTGACATACACATATTTTACGTAGTAACAGATAATTGCAGAAGTTCAATAGAAATCAGAAACTGAATAAGAATGGCTAAAAAACCACCTTCTATAAGTTGTGCAAATTTGTGACAGTTAGAGAGATCAACAACACAAGAAAACTGAGAATCTTTAAATATTATATACACTTAACCCAGCTGTATGGCGCAGAAACGGGGACAATGAACAAACAACTGGAGAGATCAACAACACATGAAAACAGAATCTTTAAATATTATATACACTTAACCCTGCTGTATGGCACAGAAACGGGGACAACCGACAATGAACAGACAGCTAGAAAATCGAATTGAATATCTTGAATTATGGAAAAAAAATAGGTCGTATTTCATGGATACAAAAACCTTCCAATTCAGAAGTTCTGAAAAGACTATGCATGAAAAAGAAGTACTAAAAGAAATAAAAAAAAAGACTTAAATACTTTGGCCATATTAAAAACCATACTGGAGGGAAATGTCAAAGGCAAGAGATCAAGAGGTGGACAATGTTTCCAGTGGAAAGATAACATCAACAGATGGCCGGACAGCAGTCTAAAAAAGCGTACAACCATGACAAGAGATAGAGCGTGTCGGGAATTATTACAGCCAACCATCAATGTGGAGACGGCACCTCATTGACTGATTTAAAACATTCTTGTTAAAGAAGCAGGGGGCCTATATTTTTTTAACCCGCTTGACCATCATAAGAAAGCAGTTTTTATTTCACAACTTTATAACATCACGGGAATAAAAAAAAAAATTGTTTCACAACTTTATAACATCACGGGAATTAAAAAAAAAATTGTTTCACAACTTTATAAAATCACGGGAATTAAAAAAAAAATTGTTTCACAACTTTATAACATCACGGGAATAAAAAAAAATTGTTTCACAACTTTATAACAGATGCTCCACGAACGTAGAAAAGATCCATCACTAAATAATTTCATTTAACTTGACCATGCATTTTTCAGCTATTTGGCTTCTGCCCAAAGATGACCACTACGGACAGTGGCCACGATCGGGAGAGATAGACATCATGGAGTCTCAAGGTAAGATATGTTGAGTTACTGATGTTGTCATTATTAATTATTCAGTGCTTTATTAATATCCTACCCTAGATGACGTCACAGGACAGTCCAACATTTTAGAGGGTGTCAAGACTGGGTGTCCTGGTTTTCTGATGCTTTTAACGACCCCAAAACATCTAGAACTGGCTCTAACCCCAAATTCACCTACGTCCCACGAGAGAGTGCAGCTTAGGTCCCACGACTGCCTGCAACGTAGGTCCCACGATTGCATGCAGTCTATCTACCACCCCCTGAAATATTAGACTGTCCTGTGACCTGTGGATTTCCCCTGTTTGTAGTAAGATATTATTAAAGCACCAATTGTCCTCACAGGCAAGGGCGATACAATTCTTCCACTTCTGCCCTTCTGTTTCTAGAGAGTCTGGTAATATGATATTCTAACTTTTAGCTTCACAGCAAACGGGTCACCCCATAGTTGCTCCGCCCATGTGCCAACGAAAAACACACAGAATATCCATCACTGTCACAAATGAATACAGACTGCAGTCTCGACATATCTACTAGCATAAACACTCATTAAAAGCATAAGGCATATATCAGAAGTGCTAACACAAACAGACCGACATTAAAAATGCAGTTCATCTTCGACGAAAGCAACAAGCAGATAAGCAGTTGCACACGCATTTAATTTTAATCAGCTAAGGCAGCACCAATTCTATAGCAAGAGGCCACTCGCCATTTTCTGAATCTACAATTCACAACACCACGGTGGTCCTAGTCGAAAAAATATTCCAAATGAAATCGGCAGCTCACTTTGTCGTAACATACACTCAACTTAGTAGCTGATCGACGTAACTATATCATTCCAATCTACAAATGGAGGAAAATTCAACGGCCACCATTTGTCAGAAGCAAAAATTTGCCATGACTAAATACAGTGACATGGCTATTGTCCATTTTGACCAGAAGAGCACCGTTGAGAGTCTACTATTTGCCATCTTCCAAGTGTGGCCCAGCCACCTGAGCCCTCGGAGATTAGGCATTGAGAAAACAGCTGTGATACCTGCTCTTTCTAACACCTCAGTGTTTGTGATCTCGTCTTGTCACTTAATGCCAGATAATCTTCTCAGGAACTGCATGCGAAATCAGTTTAAGCGTTTCTTCTCGTGCCAGTAAGTTGACCAAGTTTCACTGTCGTAAAGAACAGTGCTAAACATGCCGTCCTCATTCTTTATTTGAAGCCCCACCCTGGCTTTTGTCGGGGGCCCTGAATATAGCCGGGTCATAAATATGGTCCAACGGCTGAACAGGGTTTCCGGACCTCTCCACGGGTGATTCTCATCCGCATGGTGGTACTTTGTGTCACCGGGTGTTTATCGCTTATGTGATGTCCTCGTGGTGTGCACCTTACCTAACGATAGAAGAGTGCTGAGAACACAAGCCTGATAGGCAAAAGTTTTAATCGTGAGCTTTTTTTTCTCTCTAACCCTTTTTGTTGATCTGCTCATTGTTGTTGTGGCTTTAATCTATTCTGATGTTGATTTTGTAGTCCAGAGAGAGTTTGTTTTTCCACTGTGTAGCAAAGATTTGTAAAATGGTCAACTGTCTGCAGCTCTTCTCCATGAATGTAGACTGCATGTTTATCACTAACCTTGCACCCTTGTGTTTTCACAACACTCATGAACAAGTACAAAGTAAACATTGCAGTTCTCCCAATGAGTGGATCGTAATTGCAACATCATCTCTCTGATAAGCTTATCCTACTTTTGGTTATCAATCTACGAGTATTGTAAAGGCTGCCGTCAGATCGAGAATGGATGAATATACCACCCTCCTGATCTAGAAAAGCATGTTTAAAAAAAAGTGAGAAGTATATTCCCCCCCCCCCCCCCCAAAAAAGGGTAAAAGAAAGTATACGTCCCCACTCCACGTCATTCGTGATTACAACCTCGTCCGATGTTATATCGTCAAAGGTAATTACATCTTTTATACCTGTATGGAACAACTCAATAATGCTCTATAGAACAAGTGGACATACAATCTTCTTGACTGCGTTAAAGAGACCTTTACAACTTATCACATCAAATGCCTGGGTAAGATCAATAACAGCATATATGAAGTGGTTAATTTCGCTCACGGCATTTTCCCTGTAACTGTCCTAAAGAGTCGATGAGATTTACCCTGCATCATCTATGCATATACTCTTACTTCAGATCCCCTTTCTCCTACTGTGTATCATCTATGAATTTACTGTAACAGCAGATCCCCATCTCCTATGTGTATCATCTATGAATTAACTCTTCCTTCTGATCCCCTTCTCCTATGTGTATAATCTATGAATTAACTCTTCCTTCAGATCCCCTTCTCCTATGTGTATCATCTATGAATTAACTCTTCCTTTAGATGCCCTTCTCCTAATATCAACTATGAATTAACGGTTACAGCAGACGTCCCTCCTACACTGTTTATCATCTAGGAATCTTCTGTTATTTCAGATTTAGTTCTTTTACTGTGTATCAACTATGAATTAACTGTTGCTGCAGATCCCTGTCTCTTAGTGTATACCATCCATAACATCATACATCCGCTTCTCAATGTATCGTCCTTACCCACATAAGAATGCAGGTTACACCTAGTTAGTGTAACCGTTGCTTGTGCCCTGGTTATAACTTTTCTGAAGGTTGAACGGGAAATCTATCAATATGCCATGTTGGTCTGTCCTCCAGTTGAAGCTTCTTTAGTCTCAGGATGGTATGATAAACCTTTAGGTAGCAACCCGAGCGGTTTTGCTGCCTACCATATCTCTTGAATTGACACGTATCTATTAGGTTTCGCTGCCTACCGTCTATCTTGAATTGACACGTATCTGTTAGGTTTCGCTGCTTACCACCTATCTTGAATTGACACGTATCTGTTAGGTTTCGCTGCTTACCACCTATCTTGA